CATCATTGTCTACAACGTCAGGTGTCCCTACTCTACCACCGACTGACTCTGCTTAGGGCAATAAATTTATCGCCCTTCAGGCATCAGATTTGAGGACGCTGGCTTGTCTTGTCAACTATTGGCTGCGCTGCTGTACTGGCAGGGCGATATTTGTATCGCCCCAGAAGATTCAGTGGATGAGCAGAAAGCTAATTTCCCCCCCAAACATAATTATTTATTTACATTTAATCATTTGGCAGACGCTTTTATCCAAAGCAACTTACATTTGAGGAACAACATACAATCATTAACAGAGCATAAAATACAGCACGCGATCTACAACTGACAACACATATTAATAAAAACAGCAATAAATACTAGTAAGCGCTAATGGCACATCGCATCAATGGGGTAAATACCTAGGGAATACCCAAGAAGTTAGAGTTAAAAAAAAAGTGCAATCAATACAAGGTAAGGAAGTGCATGTTAGAGGTGTTATAAGAGCAAGTGTTCTTGGAAGAGATGAGTTTTCAAGAGCTTCTTGAAGTTAGAGAGGGACGCCCCTGCTCTGATGGTGTGTGGTAGCTCGTTCCACCGTCGTGGTGTCACAGATGCCAACAGCATTTATATTTTATATATTACACGTTATTGTGCATTTTAAACACACATATACATAAAACAAGTAATAACTGTTTATTTCAAAAATGTTTATTTTAAAAAGAAAAATCAAAACACTGAGAGGGCGGCACCCTAGCCACCTCTACTGGCCAGTTGTCACTGCCTAAAGCTCACTAATTAACAGGATAGAAAGACATGCAATAGATTGTACAATTGTCATATGTACAGAGTAGACAGAAAGTGCACACATTAGGACCTTTCTACCACAGAGACCTAGAGAGAGGGCAAACTACATTGCATTACATTACATTACAAACTACATATACACAATTTGAGACCCAGTGTTGAAAGGGCTTTAAGGTGTCGAGTCTTATGTAAGTTAGGGTTCCTAGCAGTCAAGTCCAAGTCAATCTTTAGCATTCATGTTTGTGTCTTGAACATATTTGAGTGTCTCAGATGTACTGCAAGCATTTCAAATGTAAATGTACGTACTGTTTAGAGTCATCTTACTGAGACAAAAGAATGGTTACAATAAAACCATACCCATGTGGTGCAAGTGTACAGTGAAGTCTTAAAGTCATTCAAGATTAAGGTGGAAATTATTTATTCACATCTGGGCACAAGCAGAGCACCACATATAAGAGCAGGTTCTCCAATAAACAGGACGAACAATAAATTCAACATGTATTTCAACATGATAACTAATTATTTCCTCTTGGCGGTCATATAAAGTGTGCCAAGAAGAAATATTCTCTAACTTCTGCATACTCATCCATTATCAGACAATTTCACTAAAACTGTTAACAATCAAATATATTCACTCTAAAACCACAGGGTAGACGTAGGTAGTGAAGTCTTTGTCCTGCCTCTTAGTTACCGTTCATGGAGAACATTTGTCCTGACCCAGGATTCAGAGTTGTGCTGTTGGCCACGTTTATCCATCTTCATGTTTTAACAATAATTACCCTTAGAGGAAGCCATGGCAAGACTTAGAAATATCATTTAGTTATAGTTATTGAATGATTAAAGAGATGCAGTGAGAAGTTGCTGGTGATTCTCATGAGTCAATTCATAGTCCCTCAGGTCTTTAAACACATCCTACTATCAGTGATGATCCTTCAGTTCCACAGTCTCTGGATCACTGCACACCACTGAACGCCAGGCTAAATAAAACCTAAACCAAGCTCATAATGTTGTTATGTTCTTCTTGTTAGATCTACAACCCTTAACCCAAAGCTAAGCAGTTGATACCTCTATACAAAAGTCGATAAAAATGGGAAAGTAAAAGAAGTTGAAGTATACTGGGAAAATGAACAGTGGACAAGGAGCTTTTTGTATACCTATTTCCTTTATATAACAGCTGAATGTCTGAATGTTTGTTTGTCTGCACATTTTGGCACCGCATGTAGACACACTGAGAGCCCCTAACAACTGTAATCAAAATTCTTTCTGCGAGCACACTTTGCCAATAAATAAACTGGATTCTGGTCATTTTACATGAATGTTGTGAGTTAATAAACTTTTCCCTGTTATCGTTCTTATGTCACTGTCACTTCTGAATGCTATGTGACAACTTGATTTCACCTCTTATATTTGACTGCCGGGTGGGGTTCCTTTTCTGCTTACGCCCCCCTGTTGAGGATCATATGATGATATTGTGTTGCTTTGTAATGTTTTGCATATGGCTCCAGGGCGGGAGTCCAAACTCTGAGTTGAATGGTGTTTTTGTTCAACATGGATCATCCCCGAAGGGAGCACGCGTGCACATGGCTGCCTCAAACAAGGCTCTCAAGATGTCCGCAGAGGCCCAACGCCAGCAAACCCCACTAGGCAGCTGCTGCCTGCCAGGCACCCATCTACAAATAATCTACTGTGGGAGGAGGTGTCAGTCTGTTCTGTCAGGGCATACACTGTATAGTCAGTACTGAGTGACAGGTTCAAAGCTAATATTCCAAGAAATAAGTAATAATAAGAATTTGAAAAATGCTGAGAATATAGTAGTCATAGTAGCTCATTTTGAAACTTGAGATGTATTCTGTGACTTACGTGTGTGGATGGATTACCGAACGGGTCCAGGGGCCTCCTGACCCCTTGGGCCCCTGAACCTGTGCCCAGTAGCCCACAGTGCCTCTTTCTGAATTGACCAACTAAAAGTCAATCAATTGACCACAAAAATACACAATAACCACACACTACCGAAACACAAAATGACCACAAAAACACATAAAGCATCTACAAAAAGATGCAAAACAAACACCAATAGCCGCAAAACTACAACAAAAAGACACAAATGACCACAAAGACACACACTGCAAAAACTAAAATCTTAGTAAGATTACTTATCTTAATTACTTGTTTTTTGTCTAATAAGATATTTCTTCTTACCAGGCGGCTTTTATGTTAAATTTCACTTGTTTCAAATTTTGCTTACTTTAAGTAATATTTCCCCATTTTAGTGCTTTTTTCCCTTGTTTTTGAGAGCTAAGTTTTTGCAGTGCACAAAACAACAATAAAGAGATGCAAAGCAACTACAAAGACACAAAATGACTACACAGAGACACAAAATTATCACAAAATGACAAAAAGACACAAAACTATCACAAAGAGGCAAAATGACTACTAAAAAATAGGGCTGAAGGATATGCAAAACATAACAACAACATAATATTGCAATAATTATATATTGTTATTTAAGTCACAATTTTAGTGGGAATCATAATTTTTGCATTTTGTTTTCACATAAAAAATGATGATGATGTGATTCCCTGCCTGAAGAATTTCACCAATATCATAATGTTCACCTTTATCCAAAAACTGCAGCTCCTGCGATTTGGATATTGCACAAAATGGCCACAAAGAGAAGCGAAACAAACACAAATAGCCGCAAAACTACCTCAAAATGACCTCAAAGAGATTCAAAGCAACTACAAAGAGATGCAAAATGACCACAGAACAATCACAAAACCATACAAAATAAACACTAAGAGATGCAAAACAAATAGAAAATGATATATTAAAAAAAAAATAATGTACTGGGTAGTCTAAAGTGTGTTGACAGTTTTTCTTCTGGTGTGCACCAATATGAGGGTGCATTTAAACCAAATTTAGGCAACAATATTTTGCTTTTTGTGTTTTGAAATTGATATTGCACAATTGCTACATACTGTATATGGCAAGTTTCGTCAGAGCATGATTAGTGGCATGCTCCTTTGATATTACTGTAGGACACATGTATCATGTTTTATCATTTCACAGTGAACAACACTTCTACTTGTATTACAGTCAATCAGAGTTTGACAGCCCAGTGATCAGGTGGCTTGTCAAACTCCATTAAGCAGGAATGTGATAGCCAAAGGGTCCATGCCATAAATTCCTAAATGTTCTGTTCACATTTTTTTTGCTTTGATATTTTTAGTTCATCTCAATATCCTGTGACAAATAAAATCACTTTGACCATAGAAAATGACCATGTAAAATGCTGCATGAAAACCCCCCAGTGGTACGGCTTTACCCTCATTGCAAATTGCTTACAGACAGTTGAGTTAACCGCAATCAGTTTATATAAACAGCATGAGAATATAGCTCATGCTACCGAGCCAATACAGTGTCTCACAGGCCTAGCTGCCGACACAAGTTATGTAAACGCTAAGGCGACAAGGCAGATCCTGAGAAGTGCCCGCTAGAGACCAGGGCCATGATGCCAACTTTGAACCTCTGAAGCCAGAAGCCTTTATAAGCTGTTCCTGTACTTTAAATGAAAATGGGAAGGACATAAAACTCTGTCTTTGAGGAGAATTATTCATGAAATGAAAACTGGAGCTCATTTACTACCCAGCCTTGCTGATCTGGCTCAAATATCACGGTAAGCCTGAAGCCAGTGGTGTCTCCGCCTAGTCATTGTGGCAACTCCACCGCCAAGACAAAAAAGTCATAATGTATCAGCATTCATTTTCCTACATGCTGCAAAATAAGTCTTGAAACACTGCTATGTTGAGTAAAGATACTGGCTTTGGATGAACAAGAAAGAAGAACGTGTTTGGAAAAAACACTCAGCAGTGTTACATCTCTGTATAGTGGGCCAGTTTCATTCATTTTCTCTAGATGGGTCCTTAAAGGGGCTTTCTGTGGGTTTCTGCCAAATTAACTGTAAATGTTAGTCGCTGTTGTCAGAATATTTCTCTCCCTTTACTGATTCAGGTGATTTAAGGAATATCTGAGCTTCTTGATATAAATGTAGCCAAACACCAGCCTTTGTTTTGAAAGTGGAAGTGCTGGTAGGGGCAGGCAGACAGATTAAGTTCCCTCAACAGGTGGGGGGGGGGGGAACCACCACAACCTGTTTTATAAAGACTGTGTATCTTCAGAAAAAGACTGCAGGGACTGGGAGAAAGTGAGGACACAACATGACTGGTGATAAATCTGAGAGTCTACTAATCAGAAATTAGGCTAAATAAAAGGTAGTCCCTACAGAGGTAAAATATATAGGCTATTACAGGGAGATAAGTGTCTTCTGAGGGTCTTTAGGACCATAATGGTGATTTATCGCTTGTAGAGACTCCTGAGGTCCTCTCTTTTAGCTACAGCGTTCAAATCCTGGGAAGCTCCACCTCCACAACCACCTTTTATGTTAATTTCAGCGTGAGCACGCACTGGAGGGAGCCGCCGAGTGCTGGATCTGTTGGCTGCCGCCTTCCTGCTTAATGTGGATGAGGCTTAGGACAGACACAACCTGCCGCTGAATCACCGTCGGGACTTTTTGTGAACGGCGTCATGTGCGTATAATGTCGCCGCTGGGGACGCGCAGCTGAAGGTGAATAATCGTGGATCCAGCCGGTAGTTACAGAAGAGGTGAACGCACCTTGCATCCAGCCATGGGAGGTCAGATCACTAGAAATACCCTCTACGGTAAGGGCATCTGGCATCAGGAGACTGATTATTTACTGTTAATGGATCTAGTGGTTATTATAATAGAAGGCGATATAATCGAGGTGTAAGCGCGCTTGCGCAGCCTCAAGCCTGTCTGCATGAACATTGTAGGCGTCCCGATAGCCTAAAATAAATGAGAAGTGAAAGTAGCCAAGTTTTTAGCACCTTCTGTAGCTTAAGTCACGACTTGCTTTAAATAACAGGAAATGTGAACAGGAAATCATATTCTACAAATATCCCGTATTTGTCACTGAAGCCTGCGTACATGAAGTTATAATTAAAACTGTACCAAGTTGGTAGCCTACATAACTTTTTACACCTGACTTCTTGTTGTTGTTTGTCAAGCATGCTGGCAGATTGTGTCACAACTTTATGTTTTCCTGCTCATTGTCTCCAATGATGGCAGTTAACAGGTGCATTGGACGTTTTCATTTTCCATTTTCACATTTAAGTTAACATTAACATTTCTTGCAGAAGCTTTTTAGCCTACATATTTAATACAAGATACAATTAAGTGTTTTATTTCCTGAATTATTCATTGGTTATTTGCAAATACCATTTATAATTAAACAAATGTACTGTATTGCAATTTAAATGTGCACTATAAAATAGGAATAAGTTTAAAAACAAAGCATGCATGTAAAGTGTGTGTGTGTGTGTGTGTGTGTGTGTGTTGAGTCATTATTGCGGTTTTAATCCAAACTTTGTGTATTAATTGCTAATTTTCTGCCACTTCAAAGTTTCCACAACAAAAATAGATGTATCAAACATATGTCTAGGAGAAGAGTTTTGATTATATTGATTGTAAAGCTGCAACAATAACCAAATTAATTAAGGCATTGCCAGGAAATCACTTAGCAACTATGTTGATAGTGATCACTTAAGTAATTTTTTTTAAAGCAAAAACGCAAAATGTTCTCTGGTTCCAGGATTTGCTGCCTTCCTGTTGTATATATGGAAATCATGATGGGCAGTTAGCACTATTTTCTGACATTTTATAGACTTGATAGTAATTGTATTTCAAGTTGTTTGGGATTTGGGGCTCATTTGATGACAGTAGCCTTCAGGGACTTTACATTGGCAAATATTTTTACTGGTATTTTTACAATGGTTTATGCTTTTAATAGTCTTCTTTTATATTAAATTGTAAATCTTTGGGTTTTAGACTGTTGGTTGGACATTTAAAGACATCACATTGGGCTTTGGGTTACTGTAATGCAATTTAAGTTATTTTATAGACAAAACGATAAATCCATTAATTGAGAAATAATTGATAAATTAATCAATAAACTAAACTTTAAATTATATTACAATAGTGTATATACACTGTATATACCTGTTTGGTCAGTGCCTAGGGTTATGATAGAGGAAGTAGTCTCTGCTTTAAGTCTTTAAGGTGAAACAAAAATTTCTTAATAAAATATCACCTAACACCTAATGTTTTAAAATAAAACACATTTTTCAACAGATAAAGTAATCATCTTTGTGTGTACATTCATTCCCCTAAGAGAACAAAAACGATTTATTTTGGTGGCCCTGTGACTTTTCCCTATAGGCCTCAAACTTTGTCTCCCCTATATTAGTATTCTGTCATTTGCAAAGTACAATATTGACAGTGAAGCAACAGCTTACTGGCGAGACTATCAGGCCTTACAGGAGCTTGCATACAAATCTTCTCTGTTCTAGGGTATTTTCATGATTAATGACATGTCACCAAATGACAAATATACAGTGCTGTAAAAGTACCAGGACTGACTTTAAAACTTTAAGAGAATCACTTTTGTTTCCCTCTTTTTAAAACCACACAAGCTATGACATATTTGCAAACAGCTAAAAACATATATGTGCCCTTGGGCTCTTTAGGATGCTGCCTGTGATTACTTGTCTTGTGAGATGGGGCCACCAAGCCTTGGCACTAACGTCACACCACATTAAGGCGTCTGTTGAGACTTCTTAGGGAGACCGAGCCTGAGGATAAAACACAGGGGAGCGTAAGAAGCCAGGTGACACTGGCCAGGGCCACTCTTTGTCTCTGCGCTGTTTGTCCTTTCCAATTAATGGCAGCAAAGGCCACCACATTGTGTGCGGTGGTGCATTAAGTAACATTATCCTTCCTTTAGTTGCTCTTCTGACATTTGTCATGGCACCTCTCTTTTATCATGGCAGGGCTCTGGTCACTGTTTACCCTGATGTCTCTGTCAGGTCGCATGACTTTTTAAACACGCTTCAACAGCCACTGTATCATCTGCACTTCTGGCTCTAACCAGCCACCATTTACAGTAAATCAAATGTGGTATTTTTATTTATCCATTTATTTACATATTTGACTTTATTCATAGTTTATATAGTCCTCTGTGTGCTGAATGCTGTAAACACACTCCAAGATGCCTGGGATGTGAAAATAAAGCTGCTCCCTGAAATCATATTAATATAGTGAGAATGAAAGAAGATACTGGATTCTTGGTGAGTGCTTGCTGAGCACTATCTGCGGAGGCCTGTGAGGTGCTGCTTCTGTTTTCAGACCTTACAGGAAATACTCGGGCAGTCTCAGGCCTGGCTATTGATGGAGTACAATACAGCCCTGTTTTGTTTTCCTGAAGACATCACGTCTGACATGACATCACGGATGCAATATGGTTGAAGGATTTGTTATGACTTCATTTAAGACCACTGTTGTGCACAGAGCACAATTCAACATTGTTCTGCAGGGACAAGAGCATGCGAAGAGCTTAACAAATAGACTGTATTGAGGCCAGAACACTTGGCAGAGCCTCTTTGATTGTGATTTGAAGAGAAAGACTCTTTCCAGTTTAACCTCAGCAAATTTTACATTTTTACATCCATGGAGGGATATCGCGACTTATCCACTGCTCAGACTTCCTTCTCTGCCCAGAATTCACAAAAACATTGATGTCATGGTGGAGGCTGTCTCATGACTAGCCACTGCCAATCCTGACAGTATTAACTGATTTGTCTCCAGGGTACATTATAAACCTCTCGACCCTCCAAGCTGTCTTCAGCAATGGCTCGTATAATCTACTTTTCTCGTGGACAAACTCAAGCCTCTCCTACACAGTCTTCCAAATTTAGGTGTGAAAATACAAGCAGTTCTCAAGGACGAAGAGGTGTTAATTAGGCCTAAATTATTTACTTGGCTTTGATTCTTGGCTCATTGGATGGATTTTATAATACTTTAAAGACCTATTTAAATGTCATTGTGGAGAGGAATAAGGTATTGTAAGGTAAGGTATTGTACAGAAAGGTGTGTCAGATCACTTGATTAGATGGTATTTGTACATGTTATTCATTTCTAAATAATCCTGCCTTACATTTAATGAAAATCCACAGTGACCTTGGAGAGAAATGTGGAAACCCAAATGGGGAGAGTTGGTTCTCATGAAAAGGGAGTGAGTATGAAATCAGGCGCGATAACTTTGAGCAAATTCTTAATCCGTCTGAAACCCAAAAAGAGAGATGTGATATGAAAGATGATGATATTCTGTTATGAGTAGGAGCAGTCATGAGTCACACATGTTCACATGGGAACATTTTTTAAAACTGCATATTGTGAGTCAGATGTTCTCCTTTGGGTCTGCACTTATTCTGCCACTTCCCCTGACTGGTTAAGCACAATTAATGTCACTAAATCTCACTTAGTCGTAGTGATTTTGTATGTACGTATTGTGTTTATTTTCTTTTTTTCATCGTAATAAAACAGGTAGTGTGTACTTGACTCTCAGGCATAAATATTGTGATTGATGTGCACTCATTAGCCACAACTGGAAATAATATGTAACAGCCATGCCTCAGTAATATGAGAGTAGCTTTGAATATGATCTATTAGCCAGCTGAATACATATCAACAACTCAAAGCTTGCTTTCTGCTGCACTAATTTAGCTGTTCCAGATGCTATATGTTATCACACCTTACATGTTAGCTTTTGTTTTCTTTATCATCCTTCTCCTGCTCCATTTCCTCCTCTATACTGACAATTGTATAAATGAGTTCCACCACTGTGAGAAACACACTGTTAAAACCAGTTTAAAATCTGGCAAGATGTAGAGTAGCAAAAAGTGAAATGGCCATTTACTGAAACTAGAGCATTTTGTATGAACTTCTCCCAGCCGTTGTTCTCTTTTAATTACATAACCAAGAGAGCAATTTTGTCCTTGTTTTTTTTTCCATCCAAGGACATTTTTGCATGTAATTTACCTTGCATTTGTTCCTTCATGTCTACAGTACTGCAGGTGTGCGTTTGCACTGTGCTACTTTGAGAAGCTGGAAACAGAGCCCAAGGATTTGATTATTTTAATGCATGTTCTACTTAATTGGATGTTACAGGAGCAGGTAAGATATGTGAGAGGAAATTACATGTGACAGCAAGTCACAACCTAGAGTCCAACCTAAAGTGAAGCCTGCGGTGGTACAGACTATCTAATCTAATATTCTAATCTAATTTAAAATTTGTGTGTTTTACTGTAAATTGTACTACAAGGAGAATTTATGCATTTTTCGCCCCCCACCTGTACACCAAACTAACTACTTTTCTTTCTCCACATAGATTCTCTAAACGGGCCGTTCCCTGCCACATCCCACCGATGCCACCACAAGCCCAAGCGCTGCCTGCCCATACAACCATGTGGAAATTTGTCCTCCTTCCCTCTACTCTTCCACCCCAGCACCAAGGGCTCGCAGATCGTCATGGACATGTCCCAGAGGACTGTCAAGAGACAGGCCAGCTTCTGTAACGCCATCACCTTCACCAACAGACCTATCGCTGTGTATGAGCAAGTTCGCCTGAAGGTAAAAAATACACTAGCTGTGTCCCAGTTGTATTTTATAGTATATGCTCATTCTGACCCTGTTTTTTAGAACGCAATCTGTAAAAAGTGGGGAAAAGACAATAGTTGTCCTGTCAACTGAAAAATTGCAGCATGCTACACACTAAAAATGACCCAATGTCTGGGTCAGTATAGCACTGATGCCATACTAGGTTAACTTTACCTAGTACCAATGGCTGGTTTTGATCTAGTGTTAATGGCATAACGCCGATCGTCGCAAATACGCATCACACCGCTTCCATTCAGACTGCAGCCGAGATAGCGCATGTATTCCCCCAATGCTTGCTTGTGCACATTCGATACGTACCTAGGAACCTTTTGCAAGCACTAGTTTATCGTTTATGCCTGTTGTTGCTAATTTGCATCATACCTAACTGAATTCCTGAATTTATAGCTTCTGTATATTCTACAGACAAATTAACAATTTTAAACTTTAATTTAGCATCAGCTTGAAAGCAAATGAAAACAAAAATCATAAATTTTCATAAATAATTGTAAATAAATTCCGGCGTCAAGGGGATATAAATGATTTTTAGTTTGTGGGGCATTGATCTAAACATTTGCGGCAAGCTGCAATTTGGAACATGAGATCATTTCCTCTTCCTCGTTTTGACATATTTCACTTATCAAAACAACATACTTGATTCATTAGCATGTAAGAGCCCTTTAGAGTTGAAAATGTATTTGCAATAAGAAACAATCATTTGTGAAACATGACGCTTCCACCACTTGCGACCTGTGTGTGTGAAATGAGCCCCAGATTTACAGACCCAACATTAGTCTTATTGATGGCTTCCATCATTTTCTGTAGAAACATCACTTTACAAAACCATACAGTGCGCTATTTTTTTTATACTACTACCAGGATATTGTATCAACATTGTACATACTATATTTTGTAATATTAGATTGTGCTGTAGAGTGGTGAGAATGGAGACATTAATTGTGACTGTGATGGACAGTAAAGTTTCTCTCTCATTTTCTTCTTTCTTCAGTATGTTTTTATTTTTCTTCTCCCTTCCTGTCTCTCTCTGTCTCATCATCCCCCTTCTTTGCTCTGCTGTTTTGATTTTCTCTCTTTTCTCTCTCTGCTCTTGTGTGGGCCAAAGCAGCAGCAGCTTAGAACAAGTTTCCACTTCACCTATCAGGCCATCTATGTCTCGAAAGTGAGAGAGCAGGGCAAGCATTGCCATGTGAGGAATACTGTTATCTGGCACGGTAAATGCAAAGTAAATAGAGGTTCAAAATGAGACAAAAATCATTTGCAGGTGATAAACATACCAAGGTAACTATTCTTAGTTTGCTTAAAACAGATCTTTAGCCACGCTAGCGGCTTGGCGCTATGGATGGCAGTGTTGACTGGGTGTTGGTCCAGATTGAAATATCTCAGCAACAATTGGATGAATTGCCATGAAATCTCGTACAAACATGGATTATTTGTACTAACTTTGGCTATGCCTTAATGTTTCACCTAGCACAGTTTGTCCAGTACTTTGGTTTATGACCTGTAAAACTAATGGCATTCCCATTGGCTTCAACTGCTCTTTATGTTTAGTGCTGATTAGTCAATGTTAACATGCTAACACACTAAAATAAGATGGTGAACATGGTACTCATGAATTACACTTGCTAAACACAAATTGCATCTTCCTAAACATCAGCATATTGTCATTATGAGCATGTTAGCATGCTTACATTAGCATTTGGTTCAAAGCACCGCTGTGCAGCCTCACAGTGCCTCCACCATGGCTGTTCTCTGTCCTTTGAGCTTATTGTTCACACAACAAAGAGATAGAAAAGCAAATGTAAAGATTAATACTGAGTTGACTGTCTTCAATGAATTAATAATATGTACTCTCCAGATCACTAAAAAGCAGTGCTGCTGGAGTGGTGCTCTGCGTCTTGGTTTTACATCTAAAGACCCATCGAGGATCAACCCAGACACTTTGCCAAAGTACGCCTGCCCGGACCTGGTCTCCCAGAGCGGCTTCTGGGCCAAAGCCTTGCCAGAGGAGCTCTCCAATGAGGGACACATCATCTCCTTCTGGGTGGACAAGAAGGGCCGGGTGTTTTACCGAATCAATGACTCCAGCCCAATGCTCTTCTTTAGCGGGGTACATGTCTCTGAACCTCTGTGGGCTCTCATAGACGTCTACGGCCTCACCAGGGGCGTCCAGCTGCTAGGTGAGTCATAAACCATTTTTATACAGAGATCCTACAATAAATGCAAAAAGAATATCCACCAATACGCCACAATCTTTCATTCATACTGAACAAAAGTTTGCAGCATAACCATGTGTGCTTTTTAGGGGTGCGACGAGACGAGACGAGATTTTAACAAACTTCTTTAATATCATCCCTGCGGAGTCATGATTTAGTCTTCCCTCCTCTTTTGTGTCTTTGTTTGGGGAAGTAACCTCTTTTAAATGTGATTGTGGCACATTTTCACCTCAATAATCCATCCATCGTCAACCGCTTATCCTGCGTACAGGGTCACGGGGGGCTGTAGACCCTTTGTCTTACTATAATGCGTTACCACTGGAAGCTATTCTTCATTTGATGTTTTTTCACTGCGAGTGGTTAAAAGGTGATGTTACACACAGCTGCTCTACTTTTCCCACACTCGCCAAATAGCCCAGTGGAAAAAGATGGTGGGAGATTAGGTAGATTGTATTGTTAACACGGTCGTTAGTATCAAAGAAATTTCCCTAAAGGGGGAATTTCAAAATGTCTGAAATCCATTCTAACAAGTTCTCCGTGCTGGTTAAAGGGTCATTACATAAAAGAAATTAAGAGCAAACAAGTCCTCCTCAATCATCAACAGCACTGCGCTGAATCATCTGAAGTGTGTTTGGATTGCAGATTGAGATGCATTTATGAAACACATCGTGCTTTGAAAACATCTGTCTCCAGTTTTTGAAAGCAATACAAAACTATACAAAATAGATAAATAGGAATCCTTGTGGACGCCTCAGTACTTATTTATAACCATTTCCAAGCATTGCACTGCCTCTCTCCAAAGAATAGAGCCTGTCAGCACCGTTAATAAAAATAGAAGAGGCTCCCATATTGTGTAGATAGTGCCATTTAACCTCATTTCTTGCGGTGTGTTTGACAGCGAGGAGCATGCTATCTTGTGATGGGCTGTTTGGTATCCAATGCCAGAGTGCGACTATCTGGGGTTCACTGGCCTTGTGGTGCTGACCAGCACACAGCTCTTGTTGAAGAACAAGAGGAGTGTGTTGGTCATCCCAAGAGGACAGACAAGAGGAGGGATGATGTCAGGTAATGACATGTCTGGGGTGTTTTTTCCAAGACAATCAAACCGGTGGAATGTCTCACTCTTTGGATCCAAGTGTGAATTCAACTTCATGTGACATGTGATCACCCTGCAATCACCGCTACCACAGATTCATATGTTTAAATGAGAGGCATGTTCACCAAACATTATGGTATAATAAGATAATTTTAATTCTAAAAAATATATTTCCCACAGTGTATAGTCAAAGTTCATGTAGTTTTTGCCTGTGAATGAGGCCAGCCGCCCTAAATCCCACTGTTTCTTCTCTGGTTTTCCCACATCGATCACGTTTATCCCCACATTGATGGCTTAAACCTAAAAGATTCGGCCCTCTGTCAGCTGAAGGATCACTTGGCTATCAGCTTTCCTCTATAGCCCAAGAGCGTCACTACTCGAGAGCATGGTATATCTCAGAGGCCCAGTATTGTCTTGGAAGTTGGCTGCAGTTCAGCAAACACTTAGTGTCTGAAATATGGGCGGACACATCAAAGTCTGGTGTTGTAACCTGGCACATGTGCGTATTTTCCTTTAACAGAAGGGTGCATTTTGATTCTTAATGATGCTTACACTAGGGTCTAAAAATGAATGCTGCACCAGCTGATAAATTGAGCCAAATTTCACCTGTTGTGGGCTTGTTATCACACATCCATCCATCCATCTATCCAGGTGGGAATTACAGATCTGCTGCAGTTTTATTTTTTGTTGGGCTTTTTTTTTTTTTTTTTTTCTTTACAGGAGACAAATGGAGCGTGGAGCCATGAATAAGCCATGTGGGTGGAAAGAATGGCCGGTTAGGTGACCTTGATTTGGCTTTTGTGATAAATGTTCTAGACAGTAAGAATATAAGAGAAAATCAGTTGTGAGAAACCTTTTGACTTAAGTAATATACATTGCTGACTCAGCGGGATAATGTGTTTTAAGAGCTTTATGTTTATTAAAGGGGCACTCCACCAAGCTTATATATTAAGATCAGTTTACTTGTCACTAAGAGCCCCACTCAGTCTGTGAAACAGTAGTATAGTGTCGTCTGTGACTCTGAAGGGACCTTTTTAAAATGGTAGTCCACAGATTTAGCATTGCACTCCTGTAACGTTGTCAGACTCACAATTGCCAGTTTGGAACAAAAAAAAAATCTAAATTGATGTAACAGAACCAGAGATATCAGCTTTTTTACGCAACTCATTCTTCTTCCTTGTCAAAACTGATGCCTGCATTACCCACATTGCAAATTCGACCACCAACAGTTTGGTCAGGGATTTGGGTGCATTATGCTGGTGGCAGCTAATGAAGCCTCTAGGTGCTAACAACAAGCAGAGATAAGGAGCCACAGCGGTCTGGTAACCTCACTTCTTTATAACTCCATACCACCAGATTTTTACTTGTAGTCTTTAGCCCCAACCTGCTGACTCAAGTGACATCATTTAAGGCAATTTCTTAGATTTCACACAGCCAAAAAAGGCTTTATACAACTTCACATATCCTTTCACTTATGCAGTAGCACTCCCAAAGACCTCTATATAGACTTTGATGTGTAAAAATGTGTTCCCCTTTGAAGTCTTGAGGAAAAAAAACCTGATGATGTCATCAGGGTTATCTGCATTAAATGCTGCATTACAAACTGGAGTTGTGGGATTTGAAAAATATGGGCATATACCAGGAAGGAAGGGTCTAATGAAAGACAGTAATAAGCTGCATTATGGGAATTGTAGGATTCAATATTTCTTGAGTTTGACTAATGCTATGTACTAGTGGATATCACGTCATCTGCTGCTTTCATTTTTACCTTCTTTTTTTTAATATCTGTCTTTTTGTCATTCCAACTTTATGAAAATTAATTGGCACTAACTAGCTAGTTGAGAAAATAAATATATAATGATAACGGATCACTTTCCCCAAAACATTTAACCATTGTTTCTCTAAGCTGAACCATTCTTGTGTTGTGACCTCATTCCCCAGCTGCTGTCAGCTCAGACCAATCAGCCTTCCCGCTCTCTTATTTTGAGACCCATGTAGTGAGCATAACTATATCTGATCACATCCTTTCTGTGAATAGCTTCCTTGTCTTTAATATTTCATGGATTAATTTTGAAAGTGTCCCTGCTCACATGTCAGCACACATTACCGTAACTATCACCATTTTCTGCACCTGAGTATAAACATCTACTGAAGATAGTGTTACCAGCACAATGTGTCATTGCTATTCTGATGAAATCTTTTGGTTTTTTGATTATTTTGCTTTAATTAATGGTTCCTGTGATCCCTTCTAAGGTGAATATTTCATGAACCCATGATAAAATTGCATCATTGTCTAAACCATTTTAGATTTCTGTCATTCAGTAGCAATGACCTACTATGAAAATGATCAATTTGAGCAGTGAAAAATGTTTTTAGCCTGTGGATAATCAGCATCAAACACATTTTCCGGAGAATTCTTATACCGTTGTGTCCGTTTGATCTTTTACAACCTTACATGCTGTAGGAATTCATCAAAACCGCTATCCATCACAGCCTTTTCACATGTGCTGTCTCACGATGCTGTTGATGTTTTCCTGCTATCAGGTCTTATTCTGATGTTTAAGGATATTTTCAAGAGATGTGTTGTTTCCTCTCTGAGCTTTAAGTTATCAAGGGAGTACAGTTCAGCATCTAGCTACCCATGCAAGGAGTCAAAGGTGATCCTGACATCAGTGAGACGGCTTGAAAGCTGAGATGGTGTTACGTAAGAGAGGAAGCTAAATTAATGTGCTGAAATCAAACTGAGCCTCAAGGGTTGTCCAGACCAACAATGCTGTCCATGCAATTTAAGAAAGATCTGTTACATCACCACACTTGTCCTACTCACGCAGCTATCAATATAGACTAAAGTGCCTTGCTTGTGTTTTGCGCAGAATAGTCTGTGCTGTTGAGGATCTGCTGCGCTACACTGAGACACATTAGCCCTTAGAGGGACTCTCAAAAGGTTTCCTCAAGTATATAATGTGTCTCAAGCAACATAACATGTTTTCAAAGCACAATTTGTCAGCTGTATTTTCACGAATGTCTCTGCTTGGAAAAATATAGTAAACAGTGTCATAAGAAACTTGGCTGTAGATACAACTTTATGAAACAAAGCACTATTTTCATGTAGATTTTATTTTATTTTTTTAAGTAAAGTTTGAAAGGTTAGTTTTCTTTTTTTTAAGTAGATAACTTTTCCGGATTTGAGTTTTATCAAGTTTGTTGTAGAGACTCCAGAAATCAGGTCACAAATAACTTGCAAGTGTTTTCAGTTTCATTTCCCTGAAGCTGAACACATATGGGAATGCTGTACCTTTTATGCAGTCAAAAAAGTAACGACTCTCCCTTTACACATGTTTGGCTGCAGCCTTCACAGGATGTGTTTGTTTATGGGACGAATCCCGAGAGACCACACAGCATCCACCATTTTGCACAGGTATGATGGATTCCTTCCAAGTTAGATAAGCGGAGCGAGTCAAAGGCATCTTTTGATGGATGCAAGATGCTCTACTGGGGGTTTGTTTACTAGAAGTAGATGAGTCACTTAATCACTGACAGAATGGTGGTGATCCGTGAGACCGACGTCAGCTAACATCATCTGCAACCTGTCTCTCTAGTCATTAGAGAAGAATCCAAAATGGCTACCAGACTGTCAAGAGGCTGAATACCTCTCAGGTGATTAAGAGCAGGGTGTTGACATCAATCATCTCCATACATGGCATCGTGATGCATTAGGCCTGTAGAGCATCAGTGGGGAAAACCTTTTCCTGCTTACTGACATTCTAAGAGACATCGCTAACGTTTCTACCTCAGAGGATAGACAGATAAGTTGTGAAAGAAGCTGCAGGACTTGGTGTTTATGAATACGGTTAATCTCAACAAATGT